TGAGTGATTTCTTGCCTTGCTGATTAACAATACTCTCATTTAGCCATTTTAGTTTCTATTCTTGGGGAGAGGAATTTATGACCTTGGCTGATTTGTGGGTCCCTAGCTTGTGTCTCACATGGTGTGAACCATTTTTTATTTACTTCTAGGTGTCTCTGGCTCCTATTTTGGGATAAGTAGAGATGGACAGCATTTCTAATTTCTTTTGCGGGCCAGAAGGCGTTAGTAGTTATTGGTCCTTCAAGGCATATCTGTTCTATATATCTCTTACACAAGGTACTTGGCAACAAGTGCAGTAGCTGATGTTCAGAATCTTGTGACAATGCAGGACAAACCCTGGAGCCAACAGAACCTGAAGTTGTGTGAGTGTGGGAGGAAGAGGGGATTTAGACTATCAGAAGTGGAGGTGTAGCCTTCCATTAATGCCTGCTCCTGAAGCACAGACGACTCGATTAGGTAATGAATTGGGTAGGGTGGGGCAGTGTCTCTATACAATTAATAGAGCAATAGATCCATCTTGCCCTTGTTTTGAAGGCATGCTTAAAATAAAAACAATGGATAGCTAAAACTACGAAGGAATTTTCGTTTTTAAATTTTGGTTAACTGCATATATTCTTTGTTTTGCTTAGCTTAAACAGTGAAACTCAAGTGGTCTGTTTCACTTCCTGTTTACAATCAGCCTCACTTTCTGGTTAAGCACTAGAACAATGGTGCTTTTTGACTTTCCAACACCCTAGGACAATATTTTTACTAACACTTTTGAAAACCCTTAAACTAACTTGTAATATTAGGCCGAAACGTAAGCTGCCTTAAAAAACAAAACCTACTGAAACCTAAATTACTAAAGTGTTACTTTAAAGGAGAAACTTAGCTATTGAAAACATAACCATGGCTGCATCCAAACTTCTAACACTCCCAGAGATACTGTTTCACTGGCCGTAATATTCAGTGTCTGAGTTTAGTTGAATAATGCTAGGGCAGATTAACAGTCAATGTTTCTGAGTGTTACACTCTTTAAAAAGTATGACTTAGTAGTAGTGAAGCTGGCCCACAGCAGCCCATTGTGTGACTGAAGCGTGAAGGTGATATGAAATACAACAGGAACATTGGACAAGGCATTCCATATCTTATGCTGCTTTTTCGTACTTCAGTGACATCTGGTGGCCCACTATCCTGTTGACTTAAACTACACTAATTATGCCAAATAGCTATTTCCTAGGAAAACAAACAAACTAAAAGTATATTGGTGTTCATTCACACGTATTCAGGATTGAAATCAGAGCACCCCCTTCAATTTCCTTAAACCTTAACTGTGTTGAAAGATTAATTACTGAAATCAAAACAGCAGTCTGTCTAGTTTAGGAATACTTAGATACGCAAGCTCAGTTTAAGAATTGCTATCTCCAGCCTAATTACCAACAATGGTAGCTTACTTTAATTGCAACAAGGTTCTCTCACCCTTTATTTTTCCCAGGTATTTGTAGCCAAAAGGAATGTGACCACTTGTATGCACTAAAATATAGTTAATCCTTTAGTTACTGGACTAAATATCCTCCGAACCGCATTGGGTGACATGTGAAGCAGAATACTTGTGGCAAAATTAAGCTATTCTAATTGTCATATGCAATTGGTACAGAGAGACAGTACTGGAGAAATGTTATGAATTAGGTTTTGGAAGAACTATGAACAAATGAGTTTTTAGAGTATATCTATTGAAAAGATGTTTAGTTTGTAATTAAAATGTTCTTCCTTTAGTTTTTGCAAAACTAAAATCTTGCTTACATTTCACTAGGGGCAGAATCAAACCCTCTGGTTCACAGAGAGCCAGATCTTCAAGAAAGCAAGACCATAATATTGCAGTTTTTGTCCACTTGCAATTGGGGCCAGAGTGTCAAAGGAATTCAGCGTGCTAGGTGCTGATTGTCAAAAGAAATCTGGCCCCAAGTGGGAGATACTGAACGCTTAAAAATGTGGCCCTCTTGCTCTGTCTCTATGCACAGCTCACCAATGATGTCATGAGCTGTTCCTCCTGGGATAGAGTTTAAGTGTGCCTCACTGTTGCACGTCGGGCCAGACACTACACTGTTAATTCACACCTTACTCATGCCGCAGTCTATTAAGGGAGTTTAAAGATGCTACCACCTGAAGTTGGTAATGTGCAAGAGTGACTCACAAGACATGTGTGACGAGTTAGCATTTTTTCTCGAACACTTAGATTTGACCAGTCTGTGTTCACAGAATGTTTTTCTGCAGTAGTTTCTAGAGATTTGCTAAAATAACTTCAGAAGGCAAATGCTAACTTCTAAAACAAGCACTTCAGCGAGTCATTGCAAGCACTTCACCATGAATATGGTCTAGCAATTGACATTCCATTAGAATACTCAAACAGCAATTCCAGTGCCACTGTAACAACAAGTATAGTTGGCCTCTGTAGGATAAAGTCTTTGTGTCTCCTGTGTAAGGAAAATAAGTGTCCTTGAGCTTTTTCCCCCTGTTTATCCTAAAACTTCACTTAACTACATCACAAACAGTTCACAACTTGGATTTCGTTTAGTGAGCAGGTCACTGACTCTTGTGTCCTGCAATACTCATGTAAGCAGTGTCAGGATGAGCTCCACCCTGACATCTGGTGGTGAGGTGTGGCAAATTGTGGAAAAGAACTTCAGGGGCCGATCTCATTTGCATAGGCACACCCACCCCGCCTAGAATGAGACCACAGCTGCCCAAATGGTCACTTTGGCTGCTGTGGGATCCCCAGTGTCTCTGTTATTGGGGCAGGAAGAATAAATTGTTATTACCCTGATTATGGGAACTGTGTTTGGAACTGTACGTGGCCTTTTGTTATGATGGAGGGATTCACCATCAACTAAGTAGCACTCGCTAGGCAAGGGTCATGGGTTCCAAAACTGTGTGAATGGAGAGAGGCTGGGGACAAGTATTAATACTTGGTGGCATGGGCCCCTTGGTGAGGGCCTTACATGCTAATTGCACTTCCTCCTCTCTCCACTGTGGAATATCAGAGCTAATTTTGATTTCATTAGAAGTCTAGTTATAGGCTGCTGAGCTCACTTTGGGCTGACAGTGCACCAGCACTGGGGCTCCCCTACTACAAGCTGAATTCACCTAAGAGCTGAAATCACTGAGTGTTGTGTTAAGTAGTGGGGGAGCCTGAAGATATATTGTGGAGCAGTTTGCGGGACGGCTGGTGAAGCAGTTCGACGCGGAGCAGTGTGTGGATGGCAGGAGCGGCTTGTGGGCCGTGGAGCTGAGCGAAGGAGTTGGTGGGGCGGCTGGCGGAGCAGAGCGCAGCTGAGTGAAGGAGTTCGTGGGGCGGAGCGGAGGAGTTCGTGGGGCAGCTGGCGGAGCGGAGTGCAGCTGAGCGAAGGAGTTTGTGGGGCGGCTGGCGGAGCGGAGTGCCGCTATGGGGCGGTCAGCTTCAGATCACGTAAGGTGCCTCTTACCCCCGTCCCATTTCCACCCAGGTTGGGAGGTAAAGCTCCTCAGATAAACTTTCGAACTCTGGGGCTGCCCTGACCAGGGACAGAGACTTTTGGGGCATTGGACTTTTGGGACTTTGGGTGATTTGGGGTTGCTGGACTCAAGAACCAAAGGGAAAAGGGCATGCCCCAATTTGCCTGGGGTGGGTTCTTTTTTTGCTCATGGGTTGTGTTATGAAACCTGTTGGTGGTGTTTCCCCAACATAATGCCACATTGTTTCTCTCTGTTATTAAAAGGCTTTTGCTACACTCAGACTATGTGCTTGCGAGAGGGGAAGTATTGCCTCTTGGAGGCGCCCAGCGGGGGTGGTATATATTTGTCCCAGATCACTGGGTGGGGGCTCGAGCCGGTTTGCATTGTGTTATTGGAATAGAACCCCTAGATATTGAACCCGGCCCTTGTTGCTGCCAACTCTGACGGGCAGAAGGGTTACACTCAAGTATCTGTGACCAGAAGCTTCACAGGAAATCACAATATTGCAGGTGCTGCGGCACTGTGATTTTCAAATCTCTCTTTAGTGTTGTATTTGTGAGGCTCAAAACTAAGCCTAAAAATAAGCTTGGAAAGACAATGGTCCACTGCCTGATTAGAGGAGGAAACCCATGGTGGTGACAATGCCTGCCTAATCCTCTCAGAGCCCTTTTCAGTATTCAAATTTTGAAATGAAATTCGTCCATGATTTTTGGCAAAATGCAAGGAGAGAGAAGGAAGTTCCTTCCTTATTCCCCCCCAAATATGCTAAAGTGTTCCGTTTCTGTCAGCAAAAATCCCTACAGTAAAACATTCTGAGATTCCATTGGTAGATCAAATAATTATCCACTTTCCCTTAATCCTGATTCATGTGGAGTCCGGTAGTAATATCTGAGATATGTGACCCGCATCACCACAGTATCAGAGCATCAAGATCTTTTAATGTATTGATCCTTGCAACACCCCTGTGAGCAAGGCAGTGCTATTATCCCCTTGTTACAGATGGGAACTGAGGCAGAGACTAAGCTCACACGGGAAGTCCGTAGTAGAGCAAAGACTTGTAGCCAGGTTTCCCAAGTCCTAGGCTAGTACCCTAGTCACTGGATCATCTTGTCTCTCCTCCTTTTTTCCCTCTGCCAAAGAGGCCATCTTTGGTTCTAAAGAGTCTCCCTGAGTCCTGGCACCTGGGAAAAGTTATTATTAAGATCTTCTCCATTCACTCTTTGAGGCCTTCACAGAATTGTGTAGTACTTTTTCTTCATGCACAACGGGTTATCTTGTATTTACCTTGTCCAATCTTGCCTTGAGTGCAAGGTAGAATATGTTTTGCAACTTAAATTTCTCAGCAAAGCCCACAGGGCTGGATCTCCTTTTCCTGCAGAAGCTCTATCATGGGAACCTTAATTTTCAGTGCAAGTGGCTAGACTTGTGGGAGGATCGTCATTTCAGGAAATGACTACACTGGGTGAAGTTCCTCATAACTTGATTGCAAAATTGAGACTTCACTTAATGCACTTAGGAAAGACTTTGAAACTTGCCTTTATGCACTGTGGATCATGCAGAACTCTGTGCCAGAGGAGTCCAGTGGAATGAATGAGTTCACAGGCCTTCAGTCCCAGCAGCCCCCTGGCTCACAGAGTTATGGGGCTACTGCACCAACTACAAGTACTTCTCAGTTCTTACAGACACCAGGAAATGTTTCAGCAAAGAGATCTTACCTAGCAGTTGGTGTGCTGTGCTATATCAACTTACTCAACTACATGGATTGGTTTATTGTATCAGGTAAGACTCTTCCTCCTCTCTCTTAGAAAGAACAAACTACAGTTCTCAGCAACTCTGTTCACTCCACAGTTAACGGGGAAACCTCTGGCTTTAAGCTGTCTATCTGTGAAAATAAAAGTAAATTATTCAGAAACACAGACTGTTTAACACTTGTTTGCTTTGGTCTGTTGGTCACACTTCCTGTCAAAGTGCCATTTATAGATTTTAATAATTGTTAAATGTCCATAAACTTTTAAGCAACCTCCAACTATTCATGTCTATAACATGTGTTAATCATTTATTAACCCTTAAACCATTTATAAATGGAACCCAGGTATAAAGGGCAACTGATCTGGTTCTAAGTAATGACTTTGCAGAGCTTTGACAAAGATGCTTTTCTGGGGCTGTAGACAGGCAGCTCACAACATCTACCTCCTGTAGGCTTTTCTCCCATCTGCCTGGGGAAGTGAGTGGGGGATTACTGCCCTCTGCTTGCTTTAGACAGTGCTCCCATTGGAACTAGTGAGCCTTGCTTGAAAAAGGACTAATGATGAGATCATCCCTGACTCTCTTGTCTTATGGAGGGGATTAAAGGAGCAAAAAACCTACTCTTTTGGCCAAAATTTTGTCAGGGAAAGGCTGGCTTTATCTTCTGCCCCAGTGGAAACTATGTGATCTCTGCAGTTAGGAGTTTCACATAACTTTGGGAGGAGTTGAGGCTAGAGGAGACCCATTCTCCATTTCATTGCCCTTCAGAATCACATATAGTTATCTGAATAAGCTCATGCTGACTTAGGAGGATGGTGTTAACTGAAATATGTTTCAATTCTCAGAGTTATATATCTCCTTTTGTTTGCCAGTTAAAATGGCTACTTATGCAGTCTAGCAATATCCTGTACATCAGCTTGAAGTCAAGCTGTAGTGCAGAATTCTTGCATCAGCCACCTTCCTTTTTAACCCTTCTGTCCCTTTGGATGTCAGAACCCTTAAGTAAAAGGTATGTCTACACAGCCCATGACAGCGAGCCTCCCAGTGTGGTTTGGCACACTTTGGCTACCAGGGTTTGCACTGATGCTGTAAAAATAGCTCTGTCAACAGCATGGGAAGTTGCGGCTCAGGCTGGAGCTCAGGCTCTGAAGCCTAGGGAAGGGCAGGTGTGCTTCAGAGCCTGAGCTTCAGCCTGAGCCGCAACTTCCCATGCTGTTGACAGAGCTATTTTTAGAGTACTATTGTGAGTCCTGCTAGCCCGAGTCTGTGTAGGTATACCCAAAGTGTCTGGCTTTTAATAAGTTTGAACAGAAAAGTAGGGGAGGTGTGTGCATCAACTTACAAGGGTACTGAAGGCTATGGAGAAGTTGTGGTTTTCTGTTCTTAACACTTCTCTTCAACATACAATCTGCTTTGCTCTGACCCTCAGCCATAAGAGACCTTTTGTCTGTGTGCATCTAATTATATGAAGGGAAAGGATAGAATAGAATCTGTCAAATGTTTCTTCAAGTGTTGATAATTACGGTCATTTGAACTTTGCCCCTCTTGTTTGTAATCCCATTGCTGGGGGTTAAGGTCAATACTTTCCAACTTGGTTCCCACTAAAAGTTATACACCTAAATAACTGGCCTGAATTTCAGAGGTGCCTATCATCTTTGGCTCCTATTGACTTGTGTGGCTTGGTATGTGACAGCTAGAGAATTATTTAGGTGGATAATTTTAGGTAGCGTTCAAACTGAAAATTTTTTAGCCTGGGTTGGAATGCTCAATTTGCATGTGTGGAGAATTCTACTTGCAATTCCAGTTGCAGTTTTACTTTGATACCTTAGTTTCTGCATTTCCTGTTGATCCGTGGTGCTGTGCGTTGATAAATAGCTACGCAGTTCTACCCTAGAGGCATGGATAAAAGGGTTTAGTTTGATTGATTTCTAGTGTGGTAAAATCTTGACTATTAAAAGTCTGTCTCAATCATTGAAATAACTTCAGATTTTAAGTGTGGTTCTGCTCTGAAAAGTGACTAAAAATTTCACTGGAGTTTCATGTGTTGTACATCAATGTTTGTTTGGTTTGTTTTTTTCTCATTCTAAGCCCTGCAAATTTATCCTGGGACATGAAAATCAAAGTCTGAAGGTCTACACAATCTCTAAAAGCAAAGGGTTTGGAGGCAAAGTTCTGCCTTCAATTACACCTGTGTTTTCTATAATGAAGGCACAGGGATTGTACACATGATATGTACACATGATTGCAGAAACTGACTGGTGAAGGAAAATAGACTCTCCAGTCACTGAGGGAGATTGCAAGAGTAGTAGACTACAAAAAATAATCTGTTGCTTGCATGTGAAGAATATAATCAGAAGAAATTAAGAATCAAATATGGAATCTCAGTATTACTGCTAGTCTCATTTCAAAGTCACTTTAATCAGTCATCAAAGAAGGCCACATTCAACAGTTGCTTGTCTATCACACTATTGGAGATTAGAGAGTGGCACCATGTCTCTTCATTAAAATTCTTTAAATTCCTTTTTCAAAAACAGAAAAATAAACTAAACCGAGTAATACAAGAAGTAAGAAATTGATAAAATATCCTTTATTATAGTCAGACTAAAGGAATACAAATACATCCCTGTATCTTTGTTGTTTAAGCCTCTGCTATCTATTTTAAATTTTATCTCAGGAAAGGGCTGGTGTGTGATTAAAAGATAAGTGTGTGCCAGCTACAAATGCAGCCTAAAAATAATGATGGTCATGATACTGTGTAAATGCCATGTTTTATCACAACTGCATTAATGCATCCATATTATGTCGAATCCCAGTGTTTTTCCCTGATGTAAAGTCAAACAGTTTTGAAAGAAACTAACATTTATTTCAATAATTTTTAATAAGCTGGAAGTTCAAATTTTGCCACTGTCTCAATTAATTAAGAGGAAGTACATCAACCAGCTCTTCACACCTTTATATAAATCAGATGCAGAAATATCAAATAATTCTTTATCTTTGCAAGCTTGTAGTGTTTGTCAGTGTCATGGGGATTACAAAAATCCTTTGTCACAAAATTGCTCTCCTACATGTGCGTCAGTTTGCCCCAGCAAAGTGGGTACAAAACATCAAGCTCTTGTCAGGGTAACAGTCTTTCCAAATGGTGGAAACCATTTTTAGAGAACTATTATACTAATCTCTAGCGTTTATTTCTTTTAGCCTTCAACTCGTAATAAGGACTATTATAACCATTTATACTCTTTTGAGAGAGACAGAAATCAGAGCACCTCTGCACACTGGAAATGTTAAAACCCATCCTTAACAGAATTTTAGAAATAACTTTTGCTTATCCTAAACATTTCAGGATCTCTAGCTTAATGCTAAAAGCGCACTAAATTAAACTACCATCTATTCTATTTTATTTCCCATTGGGTCCGTATAAACCAGTGGTTCCCAAACTTGGTTTGTGGCTTGTTCAGGATAAGCCCCTGGCGGGCCATGAGACACTTTGTTTTCCTGAGCGTCCGCAGGTACGGCCTCTCGCAGCTCCCAGTGGCTGCGGTTTGCCGTTCCCGGCCAATGGGAGCTGCAGGAAGCGAACCAAGTTTGGGAACCACTGGTCTAAACCTTGAATTGTAAACTGTTTATACATCACTATGCACACACATGGCTCTGTAGAAATTAGATGGAAATCCTGGCTGAGTTGAGTCTTGCAAGATCTCCACAGTAGGATGACTATGAATGGCCTGAAGAAAGTGATGGAAACTTCACAATAACTAGTTTATTAATGTATACAAGATGCTATGGAAGGTTTAAAGATTACACTTCAGTTTAAAGATTACAGCCCCCATGAAAATTAATGAGCCAAACTCACCACCTCTGTGCAAACCCTTGACCTGAAGTGAGTCTTCAGGTTAGCAAATGAGTAAAATAGCAACTACTGAGGAATGATACACTCTGCTATAGCTGCATAATTATGAATTTTTTCTTTGTTGCAGGGGTGCTGGTAGATATAAAGAAGTACTTTAACATCAGTGATGCAAGTGCAGGCTTACTGCAGACAGGTAAAGAGATGTCACACTACTGGGAGCAGCTTCGCCTGCTCCACATCCATGTTGCCTGTCTCTAAAATGAAGTCTAGTTCTTCCCTGCTCCTTATTTTTTGCAGTTCCCCACTGTCCTGTTGATTTCCGCTTTGAACTTTAAAATGTTTAGTCAGTTTGGTCACAAATACAAGACTGAAAGTCACTGGCTAAAGTCTGACCAAGCCTGCAGCCTTCCAGGAGTAAAGAAAGTCCTTGCCTGTTTGTGGTCACCACTTAGGGTGACCAGATGTCCCTATTTTATAGGGACAGACCCAGTATTTGGGACTTTTTCTTATATACGCACCTATTACCTCCCACCCCCGTCCCGATTTTTCACATTTGCTATCTGGTCACCCTATGGTCAGTAAAGTTCTTATGGCACTTAAATCATAAGAATTGAGGGGGGTTAAACTTGGTTTCTCACCTAAATTCCAACTTGGGCAATAAAAATCTGAATATAAAAATTCTCCTTGAGGTCACCATTGGGAAATATATTTGCTTCCTGCCCTGAACACAACAGGTAAAATTCTGACCTCGTCAAATCCATTGACTCCAGGATATAAATAGAGCAGGCTAACCAATTAAAGAGCTCTTTTTTCCATAAAGCAATTGGCATGAATGAAAGTTCTGCATAAACTGGTCACTGTGTGTAATCCCTTTGTTTTACTTTTAACTGTTGGGTATCTTTCAGACTCTGTAAAATGATCAGTTCCAGAATTAGAACTCTTTAACTGAATTCAATAGTATTTAAGGCTGTACTCCCTTTTAGAGCATGCTTTGGGAATAACCAATCCATTCTGGATGGTGACATGACCTAGTAAGCTGGGTTGACAGTGTCTGAACTGTAGCTGCAGAGTCTGGAGGCGCAACCTTAAGCTGAATTTTTGGTGTCTCCCATGGTCTATTGAGGTACTTGGGGGAAGTGTCTTTCAGCTATGTATATAAAAGAGTAACTTAGTAACACATTTCATCCAGTTTATTGCTTTAAACATGTTCATGGGTTCTGTCATCTCCATCCGTAAACTTCGATAGCTAGAAAAGCCACTGCCTAAGACAGAATGAATAAATCCAAACATCTTGTAACTAGAGAAGAGCCAGGGGTATACAAATGGGAATTGTTTGGATCTGGAGGGTTGGCTCAGAGCTCTCTACTCACAAATTGCACTTCTGCAACCTCAAAATTGGGCATTCAGCCTAATAAGTAGCACATGTCAAGTATCAGAGGGGTAGCTGTGTTAGTCTATATCCACAAAAACAACAAGGAGTCCAGTGGCACCTTAAAGACTAATGGATTACTAACAGTAGCACACGGTATCCCTCTCTGGGGAGCAAGGGGAGCCATAAGAATAATATGACCAGCATTGTCACTGCTCTTGCTTTGCATTGCAGTCTTCATCTTCTTTTTTTCACTGTCTGCACCCTTCTTTGGATACCTTGGTGACCGGTACAACAGGAAAGTCATCCTCAGTGTTGGTATCTTCCTCTGGTCAGGTGTGACGTTAGGCAGCTCATTCATCACTGAATCGGTATGTCACTTACTTATTTGGAATGGTACTTAGAGAAATCAGCTGCCTGAGTCTTTCAGTGACTCATGGAACTTTTGTTCTGATCACGTTATAGTTTGTAAAAGCTTTCAGGCAGCACCCTGGAGCTTACTCCTTGAAACATGAGTAAATGGGCTTTGTGCAGAAAAGCTCTACAGGGAATGATATCCTGTCCCTTCCAGGCCATAGAGCACCGTGAAGCTATTCTACAGCTGCTGCTGTAGTATTCTTAGCTTTGTCCTTTCCCTCTTGCTGAGCATGTGCATTGGAGTGTAGGGGATTGGCTGGTGAATCTGTGGAACTACTGACCATGCCTTGCAATGCCCCCTGGTGACACCCCAAGAATTCACCACATGCTGCTGCAGAAGGAAGCTTGAAAAGTACAGCTTTGTGGTGTGAGGGGCTGCAGGTATGGGAGGAGACAGCACTCTGAAGTCAATGGGAGTCATGAATGAATAAATGCCAAGCACTACAGGATTTGGCCCAGTCACTTCAGCTGCCCTTCTTAGATCCTCCAGTTTAGTGAGGCTACTGTAGTAACCATAGGGGACTCAAAGTGTTCTCCCTGTTGTAAACACTGGTAACTGTAATGACCCTGGCAGAGGCAGCTAAGACCTTGTCTACACTAAGGGCTTGTCTTCACTACTGGCTAGATTGATGCAGCGGGCATCCATTTAGTGGCTCTGGTGAAGATGAGATAAGTTAATGTGAGAGCGCTCTCCTGTCAACTTCAATACTCTACCTCCCCAAGAGACGGTAGCTGTGTCGGTGGGAGAACATCTCCTGTCGACATAGTGCAGTTTAGACACTGCTGTAAGTCAATCTAAGTTATGTTAACTTAAGTTACATAATTTAACTAACGTAACTTAAGTCAACTTACATTACCCCCTTAGTTAGAGTAGACCAGGCCTTAAACTCCCATCCCATGAGAAACATGCTTCCTTAAGAGGTAGCTTCCTTTTAATAAAAAGAAAAGGAGGACTTGTGGCACCTTAGAGACTAACCAATTTATTTGAGCATGAGCTTTCGTGAGCTACAGCTCACTTCATCAGATGTATACCGTGGAAACTGCAGCAGACTTTATATACACACAGAGAATATGAAACAATACCTCCTCCCACCCCACTGTCCTGCTGGTAATAGCTTATCTAAAGTGATCAACAGGTGGGCCATTTCCAGAAACTGCTGAATTGGAATTCATTTGCAAATTGGATACTATTAATTTAGGCTTAAATAGAGACTGGGAGTGGCTAAGTCATTATGCAAGGTAGCCTGTTTCCTCTTGTTTTTTCCTACCCCCCCCCCCCCGATGTTCTGGTTTGACTTGGATTTAAACTTGGAGAGTGGTCAGTTTAGATGAGCTATTACCAGCAGGAGAGTGAGTTTGTGTGTGTATGGGGGTGGGGGGGATGTGAGAAAACCTGGATCTATGCAGGAAATAGCCCGACTTGATTATGTAAAGAGTTGTCACTTTGGATGGGCTAGCACCAGCAGGAGAGTGAATTTGTGTGGGGGGGTGGAGGGTGAGAAAACCTGGATTTGTGCTGGAAATGGCCCACCTGTTGATCACTTTAGATAAGCTATTACCAGCAGGACAGTGGGGTGGGAGGAGGTATTGTTTCATATTCTCTGTGTGTATATAAAGTCTGCTGCAGTTTCCACGGTAAACATCTGATGAAGTGAGCTGTAGCTCACGAAAGCTCATGCTCAAATAAATTGGTTAGTCTCTAAGGTGCCACAAGTCCTCCTTTTCTTTTTGCGAATACAGACTAACACGGCTGTTCCTCTGAAACCTTCCTTTTAATGTGTGCTTTTTGGATCTTGCCTCTTCTGTCCCCAGTACTCCTGGATATTCTTCCTTTCACGAGGATTTGTTGGCATCGGCACAGCCAGTTACTCCACCATAGCGCCTACCATCATTGCGGACCTGTTTGAGAGGGACCAAAGGACCTGTATGTTGTCTGTCTTCTATATCTTCATCCCAGTTGGAAGGTTTGTCTGCTCACCAGTAACTGGCACTTCTTGAAGCACTTTCTGGAAAGAACTGGAACACATATGCCATAACTTGACTAAGTCATGTTGGTTTGTGCCTTAGACTAAGCTTTTTAGGGCAGGGTCTGTTACCTGTTTGGCACTCTTAAATAGAGCTGGTTGGATTTTTTCATGTTTACTTTTTCAACTAAGAATGGCTTTTAGACCAATCTTTTTTCTTGTGGAAAACTTTGATTTTGGGGGGAAAATCGAATTTTTTTAACAAAACAAAAGCAAACTGAAAAGCAGAATTTTTTGGAATACCCAAAGCTCTTTAGCTTTTTGGTTTTTCCTTAAAAATATTGTCAAGGAGGGTGGTTTAAAAAAAAAATTCCCATGAAAAACTTGCACTTTTGAAACAGCTCTAAATATACAAAGAATAAGGTATTAAAAATGTGGTTTGCTTTCTTAATACAAAACCTCCTTTGAGAGTGCGGAAATAATGGTCTTACAGATAAGCTGTCCAGAGTCCTACCGTGTGTTAGTGACAGTCAGGACTAGAGCTCAGTCTCCCAGTTAAAGCTAAAGGAAGGAGCTTAATTCATACGGTTTACCCAAACAAGGTCTTGCAGTGAACCAGTGTGTGGGCTGCCTGGATTTGGATGCTTGGGTCTAATTACACAGAATAAATGAAAAGGAGTACTTGTGGCACCTTAGAGACTAACCAATTTATTTGAGCATGAGCTTTCGTGAGCTACAGCTCACTTCATCGGATGCATACTGTGGAAAGTGTAGAAGATCTTTGATGCACACAAAGCATGAAAAAATACCTCCCCCTACCCCACTCTCCTGCTGGCAATAGCTTATCTAAAGTGATCACTCTCCTGATCACTTTAGATAAGCTATTGCCAGCAGGAGAGTGGGGTGTGGGGAGGTATTTTTTCATGCTTTGTGTGCATCAAAGATCTTCTACACTTTCCACAGTATGCATCCGATGAAGTGAGCTGTAGCTCACGAAAGCTTATGCTCAAATAAATTGGTTAGTCTCTAAGGTGCCACAAGTCCTCCTTTTCTTTTTGCGAATACAGACTAACACGGCTGTTACTCTGAAACAGAATAAATGTTTATTCCCAGGGGAAACACACCTTTTATCTCAGGGGTGGGCAAATTTTTTGGCCCGAGGGTCACATCGGGGAATAGAAATTGTATGGTGGGCCATGAATGCTCACAAAATTGGGGTTGGGGTGTGGGAGGGGGTGAGGGCTCTGGCTGGGGATGGGGGCCAGAAATGAGGAGTTAGGGTGCATGAGAGGGCTCCGGGCTTGGGCAGGGGGTTGGGGTGTGGGAAGGGGTACAGGCTCCAGCTGGGGGTGCGGGCTCTGGGGTGGGGCTGGGGATGAGAGGTTTGGGGTGCAGGAGGGTGCTCTATGTTGGGATCGAGGGGTTCAGAGGGCGGGAGGGGGATCAGGGCTGGGGCAGAGGTGTGGGGAGAGGCTTAGAGATGCAGGCTCCAAGCGGCACTTACCTCAAGTGGCTCCTGGAAGCAGCAGCATGTCCCTTCTCCAGCTCCTACGCAGAAACTACCAGGTGGCTCTGCACGCTGCCCCGTCCGCAGGCACCGCCCCTGCAGCTCCCATTGGAGCACCGGAGGGGGCCATTGGAGCATGTAGGAGCCAGAGCGGGGCCATACCGCAGTTTCCGGGAGCTGCGTGGTGCGGCCCCCAATCTTACACCCCACTGGAGCACCGGAGCGGGGCAAGCCCCAGACCCTGCTCCACAGTGGGAGCTCACAGACCAGCTTAAAACTGTTGGCGGGCTGTAGTTTGCCCACCCCTGTTCTATCTGATAACCTGGATAATACTCTCCCCTACCTTGCTTCTTCGCCTTGCCCCTACCTCCCCTCCTCCCCATTTACCATTACCTTCATGGGGGGAGTGTGGGCAAGCCAGAGGCATCATCACATTGCTTCTGTGCCTTCGTGGGCCTGGGAAACCCTTTTCTAGGATAGTCCCAACAGGATTGAGTAACTGCTCCCCAATCTTAACATTTTGTGTGGGGCTGCTGGATAAGGGCCAATCTCCCATTGTCCTCCAAATCTGTTCTCTGGGGGAAAGGTAACCTGACCACCTGTGGTTCAACAGTAGGGACACGCAGAGTGTGTCTGTACTATGAAAAATCAGTACCTGTTTTTCAGCATCGGCATACTTACATAAGTATTAATGTAAATGTGGCTTGGATATTACCACCATTTCAAACCTGCTCTGAGCAGGTTACAATGCCTAAACCCAACTAGTTTCTCTGGGAGCTACAATTGAATAGGCCTCACTGGTAGGAAATGCCTGCAAAAATATTCCTCTATGCTCCTCTCTATACAAATCCTACCCCTGCAGGGCCTTGGGGTCTCACTGCACCAATGGAAACTAATGTAGTCTTGGCATCCCATTTTGTCTTTTACAGTGGTCTTGGTTATGTTCTGGCATCTAGTGTAACACAGGCTGCTGGCCACTGGCATTGGGCATTCAGGGTGAGTCCTTCCTCTCACTGCTCAGTACTGATCCACTCTTTGTAAAATCCTGGTTTTGACTGGGATCCATATAGCCTATTGGGGTCTGTATCATTAGATTTCAATCTCATGTCACTGTGTCTCAACAAGAATGTTAGAAGGGTTTTAAAGAAACAAAATATAAGAATGAATGGAGGGGAACATAGTTACCAACAGAGAAAAGAGTTGCAGTCCTATGACCTTCCATTAAAGCCCCCCTTTCTTACGTGAATTCACTATTTAATGCAACTCTTTCTGGAGGGTGAGTGGCGTTTTAAGGTTTCATGACTGTAACTGTGCTAAACGCAAGGATGGGTGAACTGCAGAGCTGCCGTCCAGTCAATTTTTAGGTGGAACATTGGATCCTCCTTCGCTTCATAGGCACCCCTTAATTACAGACCCATTTGGAAGAGCTACAGTGGACTGATGGGTAGCTGGTGGTGGGCCAAGAGGCCTTTTCAAACAGAGGCACCTAAAAACTAAAGTGGTCATCACTTTGGTATTTAATCATGTCATTCTGCAGAGAAATTGTTACAAGAGGAACCAGTTTTTTTAAAATACTGCTGGAAGTAACCCCTATTCCAGTCTTGTGTTAGTCATATTGCTGTGATGAATGCTCTGCCCTCATAGGACATTTCACATCTTCAAAGCACTTGATAAATCTTCCTAACTCACCTGCAAAGTATGTCAGCTAGTATCAGTGGGGCAAAGAGGACATGGGGTTTGTCTTAGGGCTGCACAGAAAATGAGTGACAGCTGGGACTAGAACTCTGGAATACTTGACTTGTATTCCCAAGCTCAATTCTTCTATATTATGCTGCTCAAAATGTCCTGAATAACCTCCCTGCTGAGGTACTTGCAGGATTAGAAGTGTGCATGTGGGTGTGAATGCTTTTCTAGGTGCAGAAGGGATGCTATGGCTCCCATATCTGGTGACCCTCCCGCTCGAGATCCCAACATTGAATCGTGGGGATTCCCTCCCCTTACATTTTTCTCCAGGATCATGGGGAAGGGAACAGTGCCTTTGCATAGGAGAATGCATAAGGGTTGGGGAACATACTGCGTCTTTTCACCAACATCACCAAAAGGATTTCTCCCCTGAGAGAAAAGCTAATTATGTCTAGGAGATGCATGCAACTGGGTCTAGGCTTGTCTGCAGCTTCCCTAAATGTAAATCTTTAGGAGCAATGTCACAACTTTCTTTTGCTATTAACTGGCCTTCAGTATTAGAGGAAAAGTGACCATGACCTTACTCCAGTTTTGTCTCTACAGATAACTCCTTGTATGGGTGTTATAGCAGTGGCTCTTCTGATTCTACTGGTCCCTGATCCAACCCAGGATGCCCCTGAGGGACATGGAGGCCAGAGCATCTCCCACACAACTCAGGGAGCAGATAAGAAGTCTGGTGCCGAGAGTACTGCCAGCACGACCTGGTGTGAAGATGTCAAGTCCCTCAGCAAGAAGTAGGTGGTTATGGCTGCAAAGGCTACACCCCGCCTCAAAAGGCTATTAAACCAATAGAGCAATTCCAAATTCAGAAAGCTGCCATATTCTACATGCAGGTCCTCTACATCCATATGCTGTTGGGCATGTAAGATCACAGAGATGTCTATAATGAATCCCCCTTTCTTAATTACTGATAAACTTACTACCTGTGAGACTAAGAACTGATCTGCACTGGTCACTGCAAGATGCAAAGCAGCTAGTCTTTGGGACAGAGGGAACAGGGATGTCTGGCTCACTTATTACTGGAGAGACTCTGTTAGAATTGCCTATTCAATTTAGAAATGGGCCTGAACTCTAGCACTGGTTCAGTCTAGCTGATAACTGTCATTCAGTTTGAATCTTGATCCAAACCTGCCTCCAAACTTAACCTTCCTGGGGCTCTATGTTGGGATTCAGTTCAGGGGTATAACTCAGCAAATTTGCGGATGATACTAAACTGGGAGGAGTGGTAGATACGCTGGAGGGGAGGGATAGGATACAGAAGGACCTAGACAAATTGGAGGATTGGGCCAAAAGAAATCTGATGAGGTTCAATAAGGATAAGTGCAGGGTCCTGCACTTAGGATGGAAGAATCCAATGCACCGCTACAGACTAGGGACCGAATGGCTAGGCAGCAGTTCTGCGGAAAAGGACCTAGGGGTGACAGTGGACGAGAAGCTGGATATGAGTCAGCAGTTTGCCCTTGTTGCCAAGAAGGCCAATGGCATTTTGGGATGTATAAGTAGGGGCATAGCGAGCAGATCGAGGGACGTGATCGTTCCCCTCTATTCGACATTGGTGAGGCCTCATCTGGAGTACTGTGTCCAGTTTTGGGCCCCACACTACAAGAAGGATGTGGATAAATTGGAGAGAGTCCAGCAAAGGGCAACAAAAATGATTAGGGGTCTAGAACACATGACTTATGAGGAGAGGCTGAGGGAGCTGGGATTGTTTAGCCTGCCGAAGAGAAGAATGAGGGGGGGATTTGATAGCTGCTTTCAACTACCTGAAAGGGGGTTCCAAAGAGGATGGCTCTAGACTGTTCTCAATGGTAGCAGATGACAGAACGAGGAGTAATGGTCTCAAGTTGCAGTGGGGGAGGTTTAGATTGGATATTAGGAAAAACTTTTTCACTAAGAGGGTGGTGAAACACTGGAATGCGTTACCTAGGGAGGTGGTAGAATCTCCTTCCTTAGAGGTTTTTAAGGTCAGGCTTGACAAAGCCCTGGCTGGGATGATTTAACTGGGAATTGGTCCTGCTTCGAGCAGGGGGTTGGACTAGATGACCTTCTGGGGTCCCTTCCAACCCTGATATTCTATGATTCTATGATTCACAACTCTGGCCCATCCCTAGCATGTACAAATGTTTGTGGCCTCCCATGAGGCTATCTATTGCTGTGATTAGTTGGACTCAAATGAAATATAAATCCAGTGTAGAGGAACTCCTCACCTGCTTGTGGTAGACCAAACATAATCCTATTCCTAGGTGTACAGCTGACGGGGCTGAGAGTTCACCCCAACAAACAAGGGGCGGTCCCAAGTGTTGGGTATTTTGGCAATTAGGTTGCAACATCTTGAGTCATGGTATGAGGATGAACAACCCAAATGCTCCTTCAGATCCAAGCAAATGGAGCACATTAGAGGGCAGAAAGAGCTGTGCTACAACCAGTTGATCCCAGTTCAAAGTAGCCTTGCGGGCCCTAGACTTTATGGTCTATAGGGTGCTTGGAGGTCTCAGATGACAGGAGATACAGGAAAACGAGGTGTCTTTATAACAGGTCTGAGAGCCAATTGAACACCTGCCAATTAGGAACAGGCCAGATAATTCTACACTACTACTGTCTCACTGCTGCCTCATGTCTCCCTGTTTGTCTTGTCTTTATACTTTGACGATAAGCTCTCTGGAGCAGGGACTGTCTTTTGTTCTTTCGGCATATTGCCTAGCACAGAGGGGTCCTGGTCCAAGACTGATGTTCCTGGGCACTACACTAATACAAATAACAAATGAAGACAAGCAGCAATTCAAATGACTGAATGCCCTGTGGGGCTTTCTAACAGAATCTGTCTCATTCCTAGTGTTCTGCAGCAGCAGGAGCAGCGCACTATTGCTAATAATTATTCAGCCCTGTGAATCTATAATGCCTTCTGCAATCAGAGTAAAAGGCTCTCCCTTCCACTAAGAGCTTCCAGAACAGGGGCCTGCCTGCTCTGTGCTTATTGCTTACTGCTGGACGTATGTTTGTGACCAGTTGTGACTTGAGCAGGGCTACACTTGGTAGTAAATGTTCATCCCAGCCTCTCCCAACCTTGCTCCTTTAGGGGAACGCTGGGCTCAGGATCTGTTGCCATGGAGTATCAGTTCCTCAGCTCTGAAAAGTGCCTAGAGGAAGACATGGCTGGCAGCAGGGGGGAAATAAGAACAGGAAAATCCAAATCTCTCAGTGGTGCCATTACTTGGGACCAATGTGCTGTTGAACTTTGTGCCTAGGTGTTAGTGTTAATACCATTGTGTGATCATTTCCTTTTCATGATGCTGAATTTGTGGGTGTCTCCTAAGGAATGTTGTATCAGTACTTCTCAGGCAGTCTTGCATGTATTGAATAGTCTGCTGCAGTGCCTTATGGTATCAGGGGGCTAGATCCTGCAAGATCAGGACTTAGATTTGTGAAGTAACTGTGCATCCTCTGATGTATGACCAGCTAACTACGTCAGCTTTGGCAAAAGGCTGGAAAAGCTGATTTTCTTTATCCACTAGGTTTCAGAGTAGCAGCCGTGTTAGTCTGCATTTGCAAAAAGAAAAGGAGGACTTGTGGCACCTTAGAGACTAACAAATTTATTTGAGCATAAGCTTTCGTGAGCTACAGCTCACTTCATCGGATGCATTCAGTGGAAAATACAGTGGGGAGATTTATATACATAGAGAACATGAAACAATGGGTGTTACCATACACACTGTAATGAGAGTGATCACTTAAGGTGAGCTATTACCAGCAGGCGAGCGGGGTGGGGGGGTGAACTTTTGTCATGATAATCAAGGTGGGCCATTTCCAGCAGTTGACAAGAACTTCTGAGGAACAGTGGGGGGGGAATAAATATGGAGAAATAGTTTTATTTTGTGTAATGACCCATCCACTCCCAGTCTTTATTCAAGCCTAAGTTAATTGTATCCAGTTTGCAAATTAATTCCAATTCAGCAGTCTCTCGTTGGAGTCTGTTTCTGAAGTTTTTTTGTTGAAGAATTGCCACTTTTAGGTTTGTAATCGAGTGACCAGAGAGATTGAAGTGTTCTCCAACTGGTTTTTTAATGTTATAATTCTTGACGTCTGATTTGTGTCCATTTATTCTTTTACGTAGAGACTGTCCAGTTTGACCAATGTACATGGCAGAGGGGCATTGCTGGCACATGATGGCATATATCACATTGGTGGATGTGCAGGTGAACGAGCCTCTGATAGTTTGGCTGATGTGATTAGGCCCTATGATGGTGTTCCCTGAATAGATATGTGGACACAGTTGGCAACGGGCTTTGTTTCAAGGATAGGTTCCTGGGTTAGTGGTTCTGTTGTGTGGTGTCTGGTTGCTGGTGAGTATTTGCTTCAGGTTGGGGGGCTGTCTGTAAGCAAGGACTGGCCTGTCTCCCAAGATCTGTGAGAATGTGGGTCATCCTTCAGGATAGATTGTAGATCCTTGATGATGCGTTGGAGAGGTTTTAGAAGGGGGCTGAAGGTGATGGCTAGTGGCGTTCTGTTATTTTCTTTGTTGGGCCTGTCCTGTAGTAGGTAACTTCTGGATACTCTTCTGGCTCTGTCAATCTGTTTCTTCACTTCAGCAGGTGGGTATTGCAGTTGTAAGAATGCTTGATAGAGATCTTGTAGGTGTTTTGTCTCTGTCTGAGGGGTTGAAGCAAATGCGGTTGTATCTTAGAGCTTAGCTGTAGACAATGGATCGTGTGGTGTGGTCTGGATGAAAACTGGAGGCATGTAGGTAGGAATAGCGGTCAGTAGGTTTCCAGTATAGGGTGGTGTTTTTGTGACCATCGCTTATTAGCACCGTAGTGTCCAGGAAGTGGATCTTTTGTGTGGACTGGTCCAGGCTGAGGTTGATGGTGGGATGGAAATTGTTGAAATCATGGTGGAATTCCTCAAGGGCTTCTTTTCCATGGTTCCAGATGATGAAGATGTCATCAATATAGCGCAAGTAGAGTAGGAGCATTAGGGGATGAGAGCTGAGGAAGCGTTTTTCTAAGTCAGCCATAAAAATGTTGGCATACTGTGGGGCCATGCAGGTACCCATAGCAGTGCCACTGATTTGAAGGTATACATTGTCCCCAAATGTGAAATAGTTATGGGTAAGGACAAAGTCACAAAGTTCAGCCACCAGGTTTGCCGTGACATTATCGGGGATAGTGTTCCTGACGGCTTGTAGTCCATCTTTGTGTGGAATGTTGGTGTAGAGGGCTTCTACATCCATAGTGGCCAGGATGGTGTTTTCAGGAAGATCACCGATGGATTGTAGTTTCCTCAGGAAGTCAGTGGTGTCTCGAAGATAGCTGGGAGTGCTGGTAGGGCCTGAGGAGCGAGTCTACATAGCCAGACAATCCTGCTGTCAGGGTGCCAATGCGTGAGATGATGGGGCGTCCAGAATTTCCAGGTTTATGGATCTTGGGTAGCAGATAGAATACCCCAGGTCGGGGTTCGAGGGGTGTGTCTCTTTGGATTTGTTCTTGTGCTTTTTCAGGGAGTTTCTTGAGTAAATGGTGTAGTTTCTTTTGGTAACCCTCACTGGGATCAGAGGGTAATAGCTTGTAGAAAGAAAAGGAGTACTTGTGGCACCTTAGAGACTAACCAATTTATTTGAGCATGAGCTTTCATGAGCTAGAAGTGAGCTGTAGCTCACGAAAGCTCATGCTCAAATAAATTGGTTAGTCTCTAAGGTGCCACAAGTACTCCTTTTCTTTTTGCGAATACAGACTAACACGGCTGTTACTCTGAAGCTTGTAGAAAGTGGTGTTGGAGAGCTGCATAGGAGCCTCTTGTTCATATTCCAACCTATTAATGATGATGACGAGAGCACCTCCTTTGTCAGCCTTTTTGATTATGATGTCAGAGTTGTTTCTGAGGAACAGCCGTGTTAGTCTGTATTCGCAAAAAGAAAAGGAGGACTTGTGGCACCTTAGAGACTAACCAATTTATTTGAGCATGAGCTTTCGTGAGTTACAGCTCACTTCATCAGATGTTTACCGTGGAAACTGCAGCAGACTTTATATACACACAGAGAATATGAAACAATACCTCCTCCCACCCCACTGTCCTGCTGGTAATAGCTTATCTAAAGTGATCAACAGGTGGGCCATTTCCAGCACAAATCCAGGTTTTCTCACCCTCCACCCCCCCACACAAATTCACTCTCCTGCTGGTGCTAGCCCATCCAAAGTGACAACTCTTTACATAATCAAGTCGGGCTATTTCCTGCATAGATCCAGGTTTTCTCACATCCCCCCCACCCCCATACACACACAAACTCACTCTCCTGCTGGTAATAGCTCATCTAAACTGACCACTCTCCAAGTTTAAATCCAAGTCAAACCAGAACATCGGGGGGGGGGGGGGTAGGAAAAAACAAGAGGAAACAGGCTACCTTGCATAATGACTTAGCCACTCCCAGTCTCTATTTAAGCCTAAATTAATAGTATCCAATTTGCAAATGAATTCCAATTCAGCAGTTTCTCGCTGGAGTCTGGATTTGAAGTTTTTTTGTTTTAAGATAGCGACCTTCATGTCTGTGATTTCTCAGAGTTGTTTCTGAGGCTGTGGATAGCATTGTGTTCTGCACAGCTGAGGTTATGGGGCAAGTGATGCTGCTTTTCCACAATTTCAGCCCGTGCACTTCGGCGGAAGCACTCTATGTAGAAGTCCAGTCTGTTGTTTCGACCTTCAGGAGGAGTCCACTCAGAATCCTTCTTTTTGTAGTCTTGGTAGGAAGGTCTGTGTGGGTTAGTATGTTGTTCAGAGGTGAGTTGGAAATATTCCTTGAGTCGGAGACGTCGAAAAAAGGATCACTCTCGTTACAATGTGTATGGTAACACCCATTGTTTCATGTTCTCTATGTATATAAATCTCCCCACTATATTTTCCACTGAATGCATCCGATGAAGTGAGCTGTAGCTCACGGAAGCTTATGCTCAAATAAATTTGTTAGTCTCTAAGGTGCCACAAGTACTCCTTTTCTTTTATCCACTAGGTGGCACTGTTTACCTGCATGAAGTTTCTTTCTCCCAGGCCGGACTAACATTGTAATCTGCCTTCAAATGCATTCCTATCTGCTCCCTTTATTTTAAGGACAAACTACCTCTTCTGCTTTCCTGGGAACCAGGCTTGATCATATCTCACCACCATAGAGTGACTACATCTTCTGGGAGGATGGAATTATGGTTCATTAGTAGTGGCTGGACACTAGAGCACAGTACTCCACTTGGTGACTGGCATTTCTTTATGGGCACCCTGCACAATAGTCACACTTGAGACCCAAATCAGGATTTTTGTGGTCTGTAGGCAACTGCTGTCTTAGGTGAGCCATTAGGTCCTTGGTTGTTCCAATGCATGCAATGCAAAGCTTTACTCATCAGGAGGTCATTCTTCAAACAATAGTGATGTAACAGATCTGTGGCCCCCTAGTGTCATGTACTGGCTGTGTGACCTATTTGCCTCTACTGACTGATCCACAAAGAATAAGGGACCTGCTACTACAAATCAAGGGAGATCTCTTTAACTCAAATGCTAGAGCCATGTGTCTTGAGGAGGTGAGGTACTAAGTTGCTAATCCTGGCTCACTGGGAGGTTACGACATGTCATCTATAGCACATGTATCTGACATCAGTGGTTCTCAACCAGGGGTACGCATTCTGCCGGGGGTACGCAGAGGTCTTCCAGGGAATACATCAACTCAACTAGATATTTGCCTAGTACATAAAAAGCACTAGCGAAGTCAGTACAAACTAAAATTTCATACAGACAAAATGAGAAAGTATGCAATTTTCCAGTAGTATTGTGTGCTGTGACACTTTTATTTTTATGTCTGATTTTGTAAGCAAGTAGTTTTTAAGTGAGGTGAAAATTGGGGTACGCAAGTCAAATCAGACTCCTGAAAGGGGTACAGTAGTCTGAGAGCCACCGTCTTACACTAAGATGTCATCCTTACCCTACTGACCTTTTAGTCTAAAGTAGACTTTCTGTTCGTCCTAGGGGGTCTGTGAAACAGTTTAACAGTTCTAATTGCTTCCAGTAGAGGCAGCTTGTTATACTGCTTACCCTTCTGCTTGAAAACTCTGTAGGCTGATTAAGAAATAATTTATACTTTCATGACACTTTGAGATACAGTAACACTTAACTTCTCAACTCCTTCCTTAACTATTGGACCGTCCAAACTGTTGTGCTCGTGCATATTGGCAACAAAACAGACTTCAAATCATCCTGAGGCACTCAGGGCTCTCTCTGTGCACTGTATTTTCAAACTGTTGGCAAGTCATGACATTTTCACCCACCTTCCAACACTGTCATTTTTCTTTCACAGCCTACCTGCAGTAAATACTGGTGTGAATCTCCCAGAAAAAGATGGACTTTAACACTGTGAAAGCAAAAGTTCACACAACTAATTAATGCCTAACGCTTGCTGGTCTGAGTTTATATAGATTTGATCTCTTCAGTAATCAGATCTTCACAATCAACAGGGAAGTTACTCACGTTGTTAACAGCTTTCTGAAGCAATCCATTCATATTGATTACTTAGAACACTAGATATCCAGGCTGGACTTCTCCTTCCTTCCCATGTCCCATTCTTTCAAACTATTGATCATAGCACTAATACTTATTTCTTTTGGTGTGACAGCCGAAGTTTCATCTGGTCCTCACTGGGTGTGACAGCCATGGCCTTTGTGACTGGAGCCCTGGGATTATGGGTACCAGTGTTCCTTTCCAGGGCTCAGCTATTCCATGACCTTGTACCTCCATGCCTTCAGGAGCCATGCGATTCTTCCACCAGGTGAGACACACTTCACTCTGAAAAGATCAGACAGGGTATAGGAAATGCATACATGAACACTCCATGTTTCTAAATGCTAACGGCAGTCATGTGCTTTCTCTTCCTAAAGACAAAGGGTGGGATGGGGCTGAGAACGCTTATTGAGAAGGCATAAGTGTTGATGTGTTGCTCCATTTTACAGATGACAAACTGAGTCAGATAACTGACTTGTCCAAGGTCACACAGGTAGTATGTAATGGAGCCAGGAACTAATGTCAGCATGCCCTCCTTATGATGGGGCATAATTCATCTATAAATTGCTTTAAATCATTCGAGGAAAGAGATAAACTGTGCATATTACGATTAGCAATGTAATCTCTTGACTAAATTACTCTTAATGTACACTTCTTGCAACAGAATCTAATGAACTGGGGTGCCCTAAGGGACTGCTCCTCATCCCAAGTGAATGGATCACCTAATTAGGAGAAGACTCTGGCTTGCTCCTGAAATGCTTCTCAAATTCCTTGACTTTGCTCGTGTACAATGTGCCGGCTCCCTAAAGGGTTAAAATCGGCCACTGGTGAAAGGCTCTGATCTCTCCCAGATGGAGCTGACTTGTAGTGAAGGGAAATCCAGGGCAACATACTAATTTCTTTAAAAAGCGCTTAAAAGACAGTACTAAATTGGTTTGGCTTTGCAGAATTGGCTCTCTCCTTACAAAGAAGTATCAGCCCTTGATCTGAAGAGCATCCCTACTTGGATGCCACTGAACCCCTGATGGGTGTCCCAGACAAGCAGCAGCCCTTGCAAGAAGTAGAAGTCTTAGAGCCAGGCTTACACACAAATATGCCAATACAGGTGTTCCCATAAGGACTTTCACTGATTTTGCTACACTGAATTAGTTAAATCTGTGCAATTTCCGTGTGTAGACAAGCCCTTAATTTGGCTTCTTGGGAGCATCCCAGTTAAACTTATTCTCTTAAAGGGCTTTCCAGTTGCATCAGATTTATATCAGTATTAGAATACGTGGGTTGGAGGGGAGAAGTAATTTAAACATCTAAGTAATGAAAAGTTGCTGATTGGAGAAGGGTTCAAGCATGAGGTTCAGATTCAGAGTTTAAGGGAGTTTAGTCCTACCTTCAGTGGATATGGAGAACAACTGATCATTGTCCTCTTTCCTTAACATATTTGAAGACTGTTATCAGGTTCCCTCCTCAGTCTTCTTTTCTCAGGACTAGGTATGCCCAGTTTTTTTAACCTTCCTTCATAGGTCATGTTTTCGAAACCTTTTATAATTTTTGTCGCTGTCCTCTGGACTCTCTAGTTTGTCCAGATCTTTATAAAAGTGTGGCCATCCCTATTCCTTTCCTACTATTCTGGTATTAGAATCAACTGCCAACGTGGCAAAGTTACTGTGACTCCCAGTGTGAATCAGGCTTGATTCATCTGGCACAGTACCATAACCTTTTATATAAAAATAAGGTAATTTCCACCAATCAATATTTTATCTGCAGGCAGAGCTCTTCTGGAGAGGAATTCTCCATTACAGATCGTGAAATGCAAATAAAATATCAGGTACCTTCAGAAAATGATGTGTGGTGTTGGGAGGAAGGGAGGGATTTGTTACTTTGTGTCCCAGCAAGGCAGCAGGACAGAGCAGCTGATGATGTAATTCCGATCTGGCATTTCATTGGCTTTGACATTCTCAGAACCCTTCCTCCTTCAGAGTGGAGGAAGACAATCCTCCTTGGCTTTCTGTACTTAGGGATAGTGGAGTGTACTCAATACTGCTCTCCCACCCTTGCCAGCTACTGCCTTCCACAACACAAGCATCAAAATATCTCCCCGTCCTCTCCTCCTCTGTGTACTGATTGCCAGACTCCATGCAAGTGTGACTCATCAGGCTTATGATCTGTCATGGACGTCCCAAACCAAGCTATTCCTAGCCTTTCAGGATATTTCAAGGATTGAGTGATTTGCCATACTCTTCATCCCTGTAGGGGGTTTCGAATGAAGTAAAGCAAATCAGTAGAATGAAGTAAAGCAAATCAGTCATGTCCTGGTGGCTGTGAGATGCAAGAAACCTCAAGGAATCAGGCCAGAAGGTTCTGAATTTGGTGCTTGAGGTATCCAGGCAAGTACCTGGGGTTTTCAAACACTAAAAGATCCCATGACAGTCTTAAAAAAAAAAATTATCTCCAGAAATGGGTTTCTGCACTTAGCCAAAAGGTCTCTTCCACTCCTTCGGTCTTAAATGCTTCTTTTCTATCTTACGAGTGGCTGTGTTTCAGTAGTAGCCTACAGCTCATAGCTCCTTTAGGACAAAAAGGGATCTCTAAAGACAGTTGCAGGGCCCCTCAGAAACACTAATGTAACCTTAGATCTTCAAACTTGCCTGTACCGGGCAAATGTGTATAAAATAAATCTTCTGACCATTGATGCTCTATTCATGTCATTTCTAAGAACTGTTTAACTGTGATGGTTGCCTAGAGTAGTGAAGAGTGGTAAGCCTATTGCACACTTGAATTCTGCCTGATAGAGTTGGCTGTCAGTTATTGCTTCACCTTTTTAGTGTAGAATGAGTAACTAATTTCCTCCTAACCGTCTGGGGGAAATGGTAAGAGTCAGTGTGCTGCAGTTTAGAAGAACAGGGTCCTTGTTTGGCATCACAGCCTGCTATGTATAAGTGCAGATCTCCCTGCCCTAGAGCCAGGGAGAGCCAAGGAAGGGCACCATTTTTAAGGGTATGTCTACTCTGCAATTAGACACCTATGGCTAGCCCATGCCAGCTGACTTGGGCTAGGCTAAGGGTCTGTTTAATTGTGGTGTAGATGGGCTTGGGCTGTAGCCCAAGCCCTGGGACCCTCTGACCTCTCAGAGTCCTAGAGCCCAGGCCCCAGCCGAGCCTGAACATCTACACCACAATTAAACAGCTCCATGAGCCCAAGTCAGCTGGCATGGGCCAGCCATGTGTGTCTAATTGCAGAGTAGACATACCCTTAAAGCCACATAGCATGCTACCAGAATGCTAAAATATTTAGAGCCTCTTGTGTTCTGAACACTACACTTCTGTCTCCACTTCATTCGAGAGGGCTGTGATAGATTAAACAATCAGGGACACCAAAATCTTATTTATCACAGGGAAGTTTATTTTTGTCATCAGAATCTCATCTGGGATAGAGGAAAGGGTTTACAAAAGTCCCACTGGAAGTCAAGATAAGTCTTGCTTTCAAGAAGACAAACTGTCTGTTCCTCTGAGGAGCCCTTCAGCTTTCACAGGCACATGAAACAAAACTGAATGGCATTTGAAATTCTACATTGTGAAAATATTTTGTGTAGTTCCAACTGGATAACTGTTCAGTCTGCCCTGAGCTGTCATGTAAAGAAGGGCTGTATCCAGCAGTGGGCGAAGTGTCCCATGTGAGCCAGATTAATTTGAGGGTTATGATGGGTTCTACCAGTATGATCCCATGTGATGGGATCTCTTCCAAGAGAGCAGACTGGTACAAAGCTACCCCATCTGTAATGGGGGCGAGGAAGTAGCTTAGTTCATAGGTATGGCCAAGATGGCTGGAAACTCCTCTGACTCTATGGCTATCTAAGGCAGCTCCTACTGACTGAGCACCCAGTGGGTTGTTAATCTCCCTTCCTCTGGCACAGGTGATAACACCTGCTCTGTGGCAGGGCACATCACTGCTTTGGTGGACACGACATTGATTTCCAACTAAGCATGTATTTAGCCCTGGAGGACTTGGGTAAAATGGAGCCCAGATTTGATTTCTCCATTAAAATCCTTCTCTGCTTTGTGCAATAAACACCAAAAAAAAAAAAAAAAAAAAAAGGGTGGTGAGAAAAGAAGCTTGAAACTTCTCTCTGAAACATACAAGAGAAGCTGAGGTCACAAACTAATGACAGACACCTGGACTGATTCTTCTCCCTTAATGTGCCTTTATTGCCCTACTCATCCCATTCCTTTCCTTTACTGCCAGCCGAATATTTGGAGCAATTACCATCGTGACGGGAATTGTTGGTGTCATCACCGGGGCAGGAGTTGCAAGAAGATATAAGAAGATAAACACTAAGGCCGACCCTCTTATCTGTGCTGTGGGCATGTTCTCCTCCGCCTCATGTCTCTATCTGTCTATCATGCTGGCTGAGCAGAGCATCCTTGCTACCTATGTAAGTGTCAATATACTGTGTAGCCTTGACAAATGGTTTTGTAAGATTGCATGGGTGGGTTGCAGGGTGGTCCTCAGAATGGTCTAGTTGAAGGAATTTAATTAACAGCTTGCAATGGCTCATGCCACTATGTAGCCCACAGGCCAAGTGCTGCACAGGGGGCTCTAACCTGATCTGTGGTTGCAGTCTCTACTTCTGAGGTGTAGCCTAGGGACTACCCGCCCCATCGTGCGGAGCTCACCTTTTAATATGAACAGCCAGACCACCTATGGAAAAGGGGACGTTGCAGACCGGGACTTATAACCTCCATGCACTGCATCTTTGTACTGAAAGTGTGGTAAGTTTATTCAACCTAGTATGGCCACTTGCTAAAAGACTACAGTGCAGCTTTAGCTGGGCATGGTTTGACTGCCCCAGGTTTCCAAAGGTATATTTAGGCGCAAACTCAAAGTCCTAACTTGGTGTTTAATTAAATGAATCTGCCATGTATGATACTATTTCTCTTCTCTCCCAGAACACTTAAAGATTACATTGTGCTTGGCACTGTACAATAAACAGAGTTCCTGGTAAGAAGAATTTAGTCAGCAAGTTGGGTGCCCAAAATCACTAGCTGCTTTTCTTATACCTGTGGAGATGTATCCAGAAGCGTTTCTCGGTAAAGAGGAATGCAGAAACATAACAAGAGAGATCAGTAGCTGCAGGAACTCCGCGTGAGGATGAACTGAATGCAAACCTTATTTTAGCAATAATCCGTTAACAGCTATGAAAGGAATCCCAAGCCCTCTCCAATGACTCTAGATTCACCATTACCAGAATTAACATAAATAATAGGATCCATGTAAAGTTAATTACAGTAATCAACACTTCACTGCAAAAAAGGGTGCTTTCACAGTGCTTTCTCTTCTAAAAATAGCTTTTGTTCAAAAAGGTTTTCCTTTTGCCTCTTCAGCAATCTAAAATCCCACTGACACTTAAGGGGGAAAGCGGATGAATTTTTCACGCACACAGAGCAAAATGTGGACTTGACTTTAAAAAAAAAATGATTCAGGTATGCGGAGGTAAATGGCAGAGAATATAACTGTCTTGAGAATCTGTGTGCTTTCTCTTTGTAAGAGCCTCTGTCTCAAATCCGTTTACAGTTCTGCCTCGAGCAGACATTTTTACACCTAAAGGTGCAGCACACAATCATAACTGCATATTCCACTAACTTTAACCAACCTCATAGATGATTCTGCCAGCCTATCATAGTGCTTCTCCCCCTTCCCAGCCCCTATCTCTGACTATGGATGGTTGGATGAAAATTCATTTGCTCAAAGGAGTTTGTCAGCTCCTGTTCCCTCGTTGTTGCATGAGACATCAAATGACAACCAAGCAGCATGAGATGAAAATCTTCATGAATGAAAAACTTTTTTCACACAAAAATCTCTTAGTTTTAAAGGATGGAGGAACATACCATCATCCCCTCCAAAATATAGTGGCAGAATCCTCCTTTGAATAGAGGTTGGCATCCAGCACTCTGTTCTCAGGATTTGGGAGGAAATCCCAGAGTGGGATATGGATAGCCATAATTTCTCCCTTCTCTCTCCCACCCCCCCGCAGATACAGGCCGGGGGGGGGGTCTTTAAATGCTGCAGTTTCTCTATATAGATAGAAGAATATAATATTATTTATGTATTTATTTATTTATTTTATTGAGGTCTGTGTAGTCTTGCCGCCTGTTTCTTCTGATTCTTACAACTACAGCTGCCTAACTGTTCCCCTTCCCAGCACCCACTATGCTGGTTTTTTCTTCCAAACTCCATCTGGCATAAGTCATAATGGTGTGAGAATTGGGGTGGATTGCCAGCTGGTGCATCTGACTCAAAGATCCCACTGAGTTGGAGCGTTCTATGGTGTAGGAAGCAGGCAAAGAAGCTGGCTTTCCTGTCAGTGTTAATTCAGCCACATGGAGGCCAGCAAAGTAGTCTATACCTTACAGTATACAAAAGCGACTGAGGCAAAAACTGCACACTTCACAGAATTTCTTAAGAGTGCTTGCTGTGTTACTCTGTCCATATCTGAATAAATTATGAACGGTGCTTTGGCTGTATGTAGCTCGTGGGTGAACATCAGCCTTGTGTTGTCTGTCCAAACTTACAAGAAACCTCTTGTGGAAGTTGAAATGGAAGTATTTCAGGACTTTCTCTGTGACAGCTGGATTGGAGATGCCATTAGAACAGTCTCTTTTCTCTGCTTTCTGTGTGCATAGTTCAGCAATTCTTAATTTCAAAATTAGTTTTTGTGCAGGTGGTCCAAATTGCAACAACCATGTCTGAATTTTGTTCCATCTCAGGATGTGGTTTGGTTTGGATCACCTGTCTGAATCTATTCCACCATCCAAAGCTGTAAATTTCCTTATGCTGATAGGAGAGGAGTATACTTGGCTGTAGCAGCGAGTACTGTCTCCTTAGTGCCTTGATACATTTTTATGTTTGAATTTTAGCTATTTATCAGGAGCCAGATTACAATGAGGGCTGAATTCAAACTGGATTTAAATGGGTGCACCTCCATTGACCTTAGCACTGAGTTTGCCCCAGTGAAGCCAAATTTTGAGCCAACCTGCAGTTCCTCTCTTCTTAGCCACCGACTGCTGCGATCCAGTGGGATTAGTACCTGTGGCCTGCAATTAGACTTTCTTGGTTACATGTGATGTCTGCTTCTTGCCCAAGTGACTCTTTTACTTGGTTTAGGAAAGAGGCACCATGTTTTCCTTAAACCAGCCCATTAATTGCTACTCTGACTCTTCCCTAGATAGGTCTTGCTGGAACTGATTTCGTACAAACTTGATTCCTTCATCTATTTTATTTTTCATTTGACAATGTAACAGCATGTTGGCTGCCCTTAAAATACCTTTCCAAATCTCTTCAGGAAAAAAAATCACAGGGGATTTAGTTTTTTCTAGGATGGTTATAGGGAACCCCAGAGATACAGATGCTCACCATGTTGCTGTTCCTGTTCACAAACCTCCAGGGCTGATATAAGTCTTTTCTTCAAAGCTGACGGTACCTTCAAATAGAAATTGTAGCCAGTGTGCCATGTAAACTACCATCAGGCTTTAAATTGCTCATTTGTCAGGGACTGGGAAGGGAAACAGGGAAAGGAAATAGACAATTGGAGTGGGCATAGTGCTGGAATCCGGCGGGGAGGGCTGGGGGAGGGGAGGAAGAAAGGGGGCTTAAAAATGGGGAAAAAGAAAGTGATACAAATCTCCTTTGATACAGTACACATGGTTCTTGCCCAAACACTACAGCTGTACTAAATATGCAGTATTTAGGGCCACTAATGTAAAACATAACGTATTTGAGGCAAGGAGGGAACCATCATTAAGACTTAAATAATGGTCCAAATGTGCATTCTTGGTGCAACTCCCTTGACTTCAGTTGTTGCAGGAGGGATAAATCTAGTCTATTATGTATGACAGGCAGATATGATCTAGCTTCACAAGCCATTGTTGCAATGTATTTATTAGTCAGTTTGAAGACAATCATGGAAGATTATTTGTGTAATAGTATGTTACAAGATACGTGACTGACCTATAGCAGGGCATTCTTGAATCTCATTTCATGTTTAAATATCATAGTTCAGCATTCAGTCTACTTTACAGGGGCTATATAAGAATACAAATACCTCATTCACAGCAATAATCCTAATAAAATAATAACCCTGTTACTGTGGAATCTTATAACCATTCCAATGTAACTAATGGCTGTCTCCTAGTACTGTATCTAGGACCTCAGCTGACTCTGTGGTCTGAACAGTACCGTAGCTGGGCTTCCCTGTTGTTTTGGACAGACATTCCAAACCGTTATACTTATTAACAGATGAGAGCTGACTTGCCACAAAACAGACAAGATTGTCTGTAGCTCTGACAGAGCCACTCCCCATATTAATTTAGAGTAGTGATTTGAGAGGTCTTAGGCTGCATTGGGGAATGGCAGAAATAGCAGGGTGCACATAAATAATGCATTGTGTGTGGCTTCTCTGTGTGAGTAAACGGCTTCCAGGATCTTTTTCCCTGATCCAGAGAAAAGGAACACACACAGAATCTCTCAATACTCTTGTGCGCAGCTGGATGGTGAGGAAACCTGAGGTACATTTATATCATAGGTGGGAAAATAAAATTGGTGCTAGTTCAAGAACAGATAACAACTACGACGGGACACTGCAGCTGTAGGTGTTGCATCCCAAAGCTGGGGGGGGGGGGGTAATATTTTTCCACTCTGAGCTAAAATTATCCTCTGCATGAGACCTTAAAAATGAACACTGTTAGGCCAAGGTGGAATCACTCATACTACCAGAACTAAATAGATCTGATAATATGGACTAGTACAAGGTATTTAATAATGATCTAAACTACTCTAGTGGAATTGTGTGGAGCTGTAGGGCCTGGGGCCTTTGCTGTAGCATGCTGTAACTCTTTATCCCGGTTTCTCTGACGTTCCAGCTCATGTCAGTCCCACCACTTGTAATACTCTGGGCCCAATTCATCTTTGAATTCCCTGTGATGAATTTGGCCCTCTTTCTCAGCACCTTGTTTGGCACGTCCTTGTGCTGGAAGAAGTGTCTGGACCTATTGTCACTTGGATTTTAACACTAGATTTTACGGTTTAAAGTTATTCTATTTCTGTACGACAAATGTGCTCCACATGTCCTCTTTTTTTTTTTTTTGGTGCATGTACATTTTATAATGCCTTGTCCTACTATACTGCCTTTCATCCCAGAATCTCAAATTATTTTACAAATGCAAAGCATCATGAGTCCCCTATAAGGGAGATGTGTAGTATTAATCTGCTACTTCTATAAAAGAGGGATAAGTGAGTTGCTGAAGGCCATAGTGTGTTAGTAGTGTCCAGGACTCTTTCAGTCCTTTGGTTCTAATTGCTACACAAACACACACTTCTTCTAGATCCAAAAGATCTGCTACTTTCTTTCCATGTTTCCATAAATCTCCCCTTTCTTTCCGTCTCTTCTCTCTGTCACTTGAATCCACACTGCCTCTTATAACCTGCTGCAGGATGGATGGATTTGCATAAAGCTTAAGCTGCACAGCAGGACTCAACTTCATGCAAACACTTGCAGAAAGTCCCTTTCCAGGACTGAAATCCGCTCCCTCAATCTGCAGTGATTCTGAAGGATCAAATTACAGACAATGATCCAGTTGAATTTTCATGACACCAGTAAAAGAGAGGAAGGAAGGGACTTGTTTAGCACATGATCAGTTAGGACTGTCCAGCCTCTTCCCACCCAGTTCTGCCCCCTCCCCCGAGTGCACCCCTCCACGTCCCTCCCCCCCAGCGCCTCCTGCTCGCTTCGAAACAGCTGATTGCAGCAGGCGGGAGGGGCTGGAAGGGGGAGGGAGGAGGAGAAGTTGATTGGCAGAGTGGCCAGTGGCCGGGAGGCGCTGGGGCAAGGGCAGGAGCTAGAGGGCTGGAGCACCGACGGACTAGGCGCCTGTGTCAATGGTTCTCAACCAGAGGTACATGTGTCCCTGGGCGTACACAGAGGTCTTCCAAGGGGTAAAATCAACACACCTAGATAGTTGCCTAGTTTTACAACAGGCTACATAAAAAGCACTAGCAAAGTCAGTACTAACTAAAATTTCATACAGACAATGACTTGTTTATACTGCTTTATATACTTTACGCTGAAATGTAAGTACAATGTTTATATTCCTGTTGATTTATTTTATAATTATATGATAAAAATGAGAAAGTAAGCAATTTTTCAGTAATAATGTGCTCTGACACTTGTATTTTTATGTCTGATTTTGTAAGCAAATAGTTTTTAAGTGAGGTGAAACTTGGGGTACGGAAGACAAATCAGACTCCTGAAAGGGGTACAGTAGTTTGGGAAGGTTGAGCACCATGGATTTAGCTTACTGTAATTAGTGCATAACTGTGGCCACTGTCACTAAAGTCGGATACTGCCTTCTGAAATTGCTCAGGATTGATAGTTTATTACAGGTTAACTTTTTAATCTTGTGGTGTTTCCATCAGAAGCGGTTTGGTCCACACAACCTGATTTAAACCTATATCTAGGGACTAGCAGGGAGAGGGTTTCCAAGACCACAGATGTAAGATTTATTAGGGACCCAGCCATGGTGGGAAGTGTGGTGTGGCCCATCTGTGGTGAATTAGGGAATCCTACAGGGCACCATAAGAGGGATGTGATCCAAGGAGTCTGGGCTGGCTGTGTCTAGGAGCCAGTTCCTCCCTCCTCTTGGGATGAGCCCTCTGAGTGCAGTACTTGAACTTTGCCTGCACAGAGTCATCCTGTTGGTTTCATTTAGAAACCTGGCCAAAAGAACCTCGTGGAGCTCATTTTAAAACTTATCTGACTGTGGGGAGTTCCTGCCGTGCTATTGGTTTGATTTTTTTTTTTTTAAACTGGGTTCTGAAATGCTTGCTCCCATCTGCTACACCTACACCTGCCCCTTATGTTTTATGTGTGTGTGGATTGGGAGTGAGGACTCATGACTCCTGTCCCTGACTCTGTTACTGACAAGATGTGATGTTTGGCGAGTCACTTACTCTCTGTGCCTCCATTTCCCCATCTTTAAAATGAGACTATTTGCATTTATCTCTGGGGGTGTTAGGATGTTTAGTTAAGGTTTGTAAAGAGATTTTCATGTACAGCACCTCTCATTACCATAGCAAAGTATAATTACACTTCAGTGAACTCACCTAGCCACTTAATGGTACAGAAAGTCAATCTGTCAAACAGAACTGCTATGGTTCATTTTGTTTTTGTTTTTTCAGATTTTTATTGCACTTGGAGAATTTTTTTTAGCCTTAAACTGGGCCATTGTGGCTGACATACTACTGGTAAGTTCAAGTTCATTCTTCCTGCTGTTGTATGGTTTGTGCTGATAATTTTAATTCTGTTCTCAAATCTGTGTACTCAAAGTACCTGCTTCTCCTACTAAGCCTTTTGACTCCTCCCAAGAATACCATAATTGGTACCCCATTAACACTAAAAGTTGGCCTGCACCAGTAATAGACTCCATTTCACTGCCCATATTCAAATGTTTTATGTTTGTGCTGAAATGGCTTTGAATAAGAGATCCAAGTGGGGAAAACTCAACATCTTTAAATCACTGTTTTCTAAAGAAAATTGCTTATTAGGGAAGTCTGATGAAATATGCATCGTTACTCTCCTTGGCTTGCGGTGTCACTACTAGAACCTCCAGTAGCGTAGTGAACTTCGCTGTTTTCCTAACACTTTGGAAATGTGGCACTGTTTATTAATTTGATCTTTAAACGCTGAAAGCTGTGTGCACTGTTTTGGGGAATAGAGGAATTTGCTGATAATTGACAGAGTGGTGAAATGAGATGGAGTCACTTGCTTTGTAATTTTAACCCCAGCTATTTAACATTTTGAGACCGTAACTCTCTGGAAGGGTTAAAAGTGTTCTAGCAGCGAATATCAGTGTTTTGGATGGACATTATGCTGTCATTAGTGATCTCTACTGAAGGTGTAAATGCAGGGGCGTGCTCAGTGAGAATAAATTCACTTGGAGCATGAACCTGAAAGCCCCTCAGAACAATGGCTTTATTGCCATGTTGCTACCATGTGGAGATACTAGCTTAGGCACAATGTTGGGACTTGGGCATCATTCTTGTCATGGATTTGGAGTGTGCATGATCTTGGGACAGTAGCTGTAGGGAAGATGATTGCTGCCTAATCAAGTGTGATTAATAATATACTTTTGTTATCACTAATGTTGTCAGTCAGTGTCCTGATGGACACCTGTCCCATCAGCGCTTGTGTCATAAATATAAAGGGAAGGGTAACCACCTTTCTGTATACAGAACTATAAAATCCCTCCTGGCCAGAGGCAAAACCCTTTCACTAGTAAAGGGTTAAGAGGCTAAGATAACCTCGCTGGCACCTGACCAAAATGACCAATGAAGAAACAAGATACTTTCAAAGCTGGAGGTGGGGGGGGTAACAAAGGTCTGTCTGTGTGTTGCTTTTGCTGAGAACAGATCAGGAATGCTCTTCAGAACTCCTGTAAAAAGTTAGTAAGCAGTCTAGCTAGAAATGCGTTAGATTTTCTTTTGTTTAATGGCTGGTAAAATAGCTGTGCTGAATGGAATGTATATTCCTGGTTTTTGTGTCTTTTTGTAACTTAAGGTTTTGCCTAGAGGGATTCTCTATGTTTTGAATCTGATTACCCTGTAAGGTATTTACCATCCTGATTTTACAGAGGTGATTCTTTAACTTTTTCTTTAATTAAAATTCTTCTTTTAAGAACCTGATTGCTTTTTCATTGTTCTTAAGATCCAAGGGTTTGGGTCTGTGTTCACCTATGCAAATTGGTGAGGATTTTTATCAAGCCTTCCCCAGGAAAGGGGGTGTAGGGCTTGGGGGGATATTTTGGGGGAAGACATCTCCAGGTGGGCTCTTTCCCTGTTCTTTGTTTAACACACTTGGTGGTGGCAGCATAGGGTTCAAGGACAAGGCAAAGTTTGTACCTTGAGGAAGTTTTTAACCTAAGTTGGTAAGAATAAGCTTAGGGGGTCTTTCATGCAGGTCCCCACATCTGTACCCTAGAGTTCAGAGTGGGAAAGGAACCTTGACAGCTTGCCTTCAGGTGACCCTTCTGTCGGTTCGTTCAGTCAGTCAGTCCTTCCTTTCTCTGCCTATTCAATAACAACTTGCTGAATTCCCCTCTCAATATTGACATCTTCTTTCCAGCACTGGAAGCTGTCATTGTGACTCTGTTCTTTAGCAGGGACTGTCTGCTAACATTTCTGCTCTATAGAGGAGTTCATGTACACAATGAGTGCACAATTACACCTTTCTACTGGGTAAACTTCTACGGCCTATTCTATTATGCAGTAGGTCAAACTAGAAAGCTAGTTTAAAAACTCAAAAGACCAAGCACGTCACAACTTTGATACACTCTTTGTCGTGATAGAAGGTGACCCTGTACCAGTCAGATCCAAACCTTTTAATTTTCTCACTTGCCAGTGCAGAGTGACTAAATGCCCATCGGGGCAAAGTGTGGTAAGCTATTTTCTGAGAATGCTTTGTGATGTAATCCTAAATTGTAAACTTCAGTAATTCTCATTTTCCTGGTTACACCAATCTTCACTTAGATCACTTGTTGTGTCTTTGCTCACTCAAGGACTCTATAGCTTAGGAATTGTATCCATTGCATTGAAAAGCCATGTGGGTTCAATGTACTGATGCTATCAGCAGAGCAACACAGTAAACATTTAATCTTTTTTTATATATATATATGTATTGTCATTTGTATTGTTCAGACAGTTGCTGATAATACAGCTGGACTTGGGAATGGCTGTTCTTATTTTGCCATGAAAGTGGCTTTTTTTTCTCCCCAAGTGGTGTTGCTATCCAGAAAATATCTCCAGGCTTTATTTATCCTGCAACCTGTGGAGCTGCAGACAAAGGAAGATGCTGGCTGAATGATAACGCTCCTGCTCTTTTGTGGCTATGGAATGAAGTTGTATTGAATGTAGCCCCTCTGTGCCGCTTCCCCCCAGCACTAAACACGAAGAGAACTAATGTGCAACCATAGCCAAAATAACGTGTGTGAATGGAGAGATGCCAAGCTCCTTTGTGGCTCTCTTCAAGAGAGGTTGTAGATGGAGTCTCCATGCGTATGAGTCTGGTTACCAAAGTGAAGAACCAAGACAACAGTGATGAGGGAAGAAGGCAGCCCAGGGAAGAGCACATTTACATGTGAGGTGTCAGTGTGTTTACAGGAGGTCTTCGGCAGCTCAGGGTGAGGAAGATGCCTTGGCTGGAGGCTTTGGGTTGGGACTGGGTCAGCTTGTCTGGTTTGGAAGTGGCTCATGAGGTATATGGGTAGATCTGTGTGTGCCACGGCTGGGAGTGTGAATGGCAGCTCCCCTGGGAACGTACTCAGACTTGTGCAGCCAGCACCGAAGCACATATTGCAGCGTCCACACTTGTATCGTTAGTGAACTAGCTGGAGTACATCCAGCACAAGCACATCTTCCTGGTTGCCATTCTCTGGTTGCAATGTATGTGCATGGCCAGTCTGTCAGTTTCATCTGCTTGGCTAGTTGGCCACTCCTCCATGTAGCCAATTAGCAAGAGGCTGTCCCTGTAAAATCATCAGGGCGAGCAGGACAGGCCCTGTAAATTAAGACGTTTGTTTGGGGCACCTTGTCTATCTGACAAGGAATCCTGACTGGATCTCCCAGCAGATGACTTGCAGGCTGCCACTGGAATCAGTGAGAATGCGTGGGTGTCTAGGACATGTCCTTTGATAAGCAGGATATTATGGCACATGATTCAGAAGCCGTTGTGTGGGGGTGCTTGGTTTGTTCTGTTCCTGACAAATGCCATATTGCATTATATGCTAGTAAGAGGAAGAGTGCTCCACTCAGTTCCCATTTCATTAGCAAGCATCATGTCCAGTCAGACTCTGACAGAATGAACTGCACAATTGTACAACACTTAATGTTATATATGAGTGAAACCATAAGATCAACCTTATCTCACCTCTTCATTCTTGTTGACTACTTCTCCTAGCAGACCCACTCCATTCACTCCTTGTAATTCTGGATATTGGAAATCTCTTCAGCTGAGTGACTGCAGCATCAGTGGAACTGAATGGGTGCAAGGTATTGAACTGGGCTACAAAGTTTTCAATTTCTGGGATGCTTGTTCAATAATTCTTAATACTGTTCATCTCTATATCATTCAGTGTATAGTTGGCATCATTAGTCGCTTGTAGAGATGGGAAACGGAGTCAGCAATACAACCCAAGTCTCTTGACTCCACTCCAGTGCCTTACTCACTATAGCATGGCACCATGTTATCCGCCGATTTATAGTTGTGTGCTGGCAATCTTTTTGGTCTCTGTCCCTGGAGAAAAGGATCCTTCCCCTAAAGCCACCAAGCACCAACTGCCACCTTGGTAGTCTTTCCAGATAGGCCAAAGACCTCTTGGGCCATCGAGAATGAACTTTCTCACCCTAAAGAGCCATACTGGGTCAGACCAAGGATCCATCTAGCCCAGTATCCTTAATAATATATATTCTTCTATAGCAGATAGCCAGGTACATAAAAACACACAATACTTCTAGCAGGAATCCAGCTTCCCAAACTGCCAGACACAAGGGGTGTTAGTTACATGTTAGTTACTGTAGCCATGGCCATGTTTCTAGGACCCAAAGAGTAAAAGACATCTTACGGTTTTGTCCAAAGTGGCTAGTCAAATGTGGGGCCTTTGCCGGTTGTTTGCACTAGGAGGAGAAATTGATGATGAAGCCAGGTTTTGTTTGAGGCAATCTGGTTGATTTTCAAAAATGTACAAATCCTGTTTCCCCAAATATAGGAACAATCAAACAACAATAAGAGACTGTCTTCTGCCTCACAGGTCCAAACTTCTTTCAGCCAGTACCCGACCCAAAACCTCTCTCTTAGCTTCTCACAGGGCCACACAATGTATCTGTCTCTCTCCTGCCATGCACACCACACATTTAGCCAAAACAATACCAAGTGAAGTTCATCTATCCAGATTTGTAAATTCCTGAGCTGACTCACTTATCCCTTTGTTTTGGGCAGCGATCTGTGCTTAATTTTCTCTTGCAGTTATTTTAAATAAAGGTCAGTGGTTAAACTAATAACATTACTCAACATAAAGCTGTTCTTTAGATGTAGTAAGGGCTTATCTACACACAAGCTGGAACTGAAATAACTCAACTGTCTGTAATTCATGCCACTAGTTATTTACTTCGGGGCAACTCTCTGTGTGTGGACACGCACTTAGGTTAAGTGCCCAGTTATATCTAAATAGGACATTTTTATTTTCAAAAAAGCA